CCCCGGGGCTGGGGACAAGGCTGATCGCAGCCTGTGGCCATGGGACCTGCCCCTTCTCTGGCACCAGGAGGACCCAGGCCTCCCTCCCTGACCAGTGGAGGGCCGGGGTGACCAGGCCTCCCTCCCTGACCAGTGGAGGGCCAGGGTGACGAGGCCTCCCTCCCTGACCAGTGGAGGGCCGGGCTGACCAGGCCCCCCTCCCTGACCAATGGAGGGCTGGGGTTACCAGGCTTCCCTCCCTAACCAGTGGAGCGCCGGGGTGACCAGGCCCCCCTCCCTGACCAGTGGAGCTCCGGGTGACACAAAGGTCTGCCTCCCCCACCAGAGGCCAGGAATCGGTCGGGAGGGTGGGGAGTGACTCCGAGCAGGATCAGGCTGGTGGGCGGGTGGGCTCCTTCCTCCGGGGCAGAGGTGGGTGCGATCCTGCTCCCTGAGGAGAGGGCCCGTGGCCATCGGCCTCCCACCATCGGTGTGACACCCGCACTGACAGCGAAGGCCCAGCCGCCAGCTCTCCGCGGGTGTCTTGACGAGGTAGCCCGCCATTTCTTGGTGACCCTGGCTTCTCATCCCCCAGAACCCAGGCCCAAGTATGGGAATTGGCAGGGAGCGTATGTCTCCCACCTGTGCCGTCACCCCCGTGCCGGGCGGACGGGGACCCTGGGGGCGCTCCGGGAGCGGGTTAGTGATGGTGTGGTCTGTGCAGGGCGCACACCCTGGAGAGGGGCGTGTGTGGGTGTGTCCACTCCAGGGCTCAGGAGTTGGTCTGGGCCACCTGGTCCTCCGCAGCTCACTTCCTGGCTTCCCGCCGGGTCCGTGGTCCGGGACAGCGTGTGGTGTAGCGGCGAAGGGGGTAGAGCCTGAAGCCACACTTCACGGCCCTGTGCCTCAGTTTCCCCATCTGTAACAGCGTCCACCTCGCAGGGTTGGCGAGAGGGGTAGCTGCATCAGCATGTGTCAAGCGCTTACAAAAAGTGTTGGTAGCACCTGCACGTGCTGAGGGCGGTGTGAGTGGCAGCTGCTGCTATTATTATTAACGGCGCCTTTGTGGTTGTTTCCGCTGAGCGGCTAAACATTCCTGTCCTCCCCCCAGTCCTGGGAGCCGGCAACTATTTGTAGCTATTTTTTGCGTCTTTGGCCCTTATATGGATCAGAGTCGGTAGGTGTGTTGGGGATGGGGGCGGAGGGTGCCTCTGAATGACCCCTCCAGGTCCCCCCCAAAACATGGGAAGAGCGCCCTCCGCCGCTGTCCCTGCCTGTGGTGCTG